CTCCGTGTCCTTTCCGGCTCAATTTTCCAACTCGTCACATGCGGGTTGTACCTTCGTAGATCGTCCTTCGGCTTCCTTTGCTGCTGATTCTGCGTGCTGAAGGATTTGAAAATCAACGTAGCGAATGTCTGATAGTTTAGTACTTTCCTCGATTGGCGATTTCACAGAAACTACCAGAAGATTCTGGTTAATTGTCCACCACTACTGCACTTAGAAAATCCGTTCCGACTGCCCCACTTAAATGTTCAAAATTCGGGAGAGCGTTTTTAAAAACATTTATTTACACAAAAAGCGAAATAAAGTTTTATTCGAGCTGGCCGATACAAATGCTGTAATAATTAAGAGCATTTTTATAATATTACAATCGAATAAATAGGGCTTGTGCAGTTTGGGCCATATAACTAAGAGCATTTTTACAATATTACAATCGAATAAATAGGGCTTGTGCAGTTTGGGCCATATAACTTGGGCAAACAAGTATTACAATATCGTGAATTTAAACATATACTTTTGTTGTGAATAATGTGAGGAAACATTTTATTTTACATCTAGAAAGTGAAAAATTTTTATTAAATTATAATATGCTGTATAATATTTTATAGGGGTTATTTTAATTTTTATCTTATAATTTGTTTTAGTTGGTTTTGGTTAGACGGCTGCTATAATTCTAGACCTGAAAATTCGTTAAACCTATTTCTTTTGTATACATATTCCTTTTGCAAATATCACTCCTAATATCTATTTTCCGTTCTTTTAATGCTTTAGTAGTGATTTTTGAATAAGTTACATAACCTTAAATATAGATATGCTAAACCGTGCGGAAATCAAATAGGTCGATCTGCGTTTTTACCACTGATATTGAAGACTTGGGAAACCTTCTATAATTGAAAATTGAATAATCTAAAAATTCTTTTAAATACAAAGATATTTAAAATTTCATGACAAAATTTCGATTTTGAGAAAATTATATCGGTGTAATATCTGTTTTATTTTTTTTTTGTGTTTTTATTGTTTCTTTTTATTTTTTATATTAACCTGGCGATGAAAACCAGAGAGATACTTTAATGTGATTTGTTAATTGACCTAATAAGTAAACATAATAATTGCATAGTCGAATAGTTTTGTTCGTTTAGTTTTTGGTCCAGTTGGTTTTGGTATGAATTTTCGCTAATTCTGTGTTCGAAAAACTCTCCACACTTATAAAAAATCAAATAAAAAAAAATCAGTGTCAATGTGAACACAAAATCCATTGCCTTCGAAAACGGACCATCTTAGCGATTAAAGTTACACTTGATTGATAAAGTGTAACTTTTTCTTGTGGCCCACAAAATAGTTGTTGCAGTTTTTGTTAACTGTTGCGCTCAAAAATTGCGCTCCTCGCCAAATTTGACATTTCTAGTTGTAGAGTCAGATTCACAATGCCCAAGTTACTGAAAAGCTAAAATTTCAAATCTTTCTGTAGACTTGTTTCGGATATATAAATTAAAAACCATATTCAGCCCCATTTCTTTTACGGCTTGTGATTCCTTTTGGGAGTGTTTCTTGATACATATTTATATAGAATACTGGGAATTAGTTGGAATATGCTCATACGAAATAAAGTTTTAGTCCCATCAAGCTGGACCGGCGCAGCATTTCCGTTATTTACATATTTTCCATTAATCAGAATATTTTATATTGTAAACATTCATGTGTTGCTTACATTATAAATAATGTTTCAAAGTTTAGTTTTATAGGTATTCATTATTTTCATTTATTAGTTACAATAAAAAAAAACATAGCAATAAAGTTCAGGACCTCTAAATATTAATAATTAGATATAAATATTTGAACATATCTAGAATATTTTAATTTACTACTAAAATTTAAAGAATCACTACAAAAAGTAGAATCGTCGTATTATTATAACTGGATCGGGTTAAAAATAGGTACACTGATGATATAGCGTAATTATAAAACATTATGGCCCTACTATTCTGGCAAATCATGTACCACATACTTCTTTTTTGTTTATTCCTAAGATACAAATGGTCAAGCACTTGAGCATAAAATGCATAATGTTTTAATATTCTAGGTACTTACCGTGATACAGATGTCGCAAGTTCAAAAATACTTTTTGTTCGTTTAACCAACAATTTTCAACCTTGGATCGTGAACTTTTAGGTGTCTTGGTTAATAACATGTTGTAGTAAGCAGCATTGTCCGCAACAATGGTAGATGGTTCAATCGAGATCTTTAACAGCTGATTTTCGAAACAACGAGGAAAGTTTTCCTGGTTCATTGTACCTCCGGTACAATTTGTTTAACACGTGAATCACCTTTTACCATTAAGTTTGGTAGTTTTAACACTTCCCTGATTTTTGTCTTGCACCAGTGGTTAATAGTGTCATTTTGAAAAATTTAAGTCCCATCCAAGAAAACGAACTGATGCAAAGCTTCCAGTTAGTGGTGTAGATGTGACGTCAAAAATTTGAACAACAATCTACTCGATGAAATTCGACAGCCATTGTTTGGTTTTTAATTTGCTAAATAAGATAATGTTACAGAAAAACCAACGCAGAATTATAGACTCTCTTTGAAATATGAGAATAGCACAAACAGTTGGTAGGCTTCACTTTAAATCCTGCTCGAGCTGAGCTGAAAATACAAGACAATAAAGTGCAAAAATTGAAAATTCCTGTTATAAGAAAATAATATACTTATGGTAGATTTCCCTAGTAATATCATTTCTTTTTCCAAAATATTATTAAAAATATTTTAAAACGTTGCTCTTAACCTTGACGCCTATTAGAATAATTATTGTGTTCCGACTGTTTTAGTTGTTCAATTTCTCCTAACAGTTTATTATTATTTTAAATTGTGCGTCCCGTTGTCTCTAGTATCTTTGAAGATCTCTTATTCCTCAATCCTGAGCGCCGATCTTCTAAGAATGGAGCGCATTTCTGCGTGTTTGGAAATGAGTGGTATATTGTCACCTGCTAAAAATTGTTAGCGCAGTTGCCAGATTGTGGAATAGTTCCTAAGATTTCTCGCGTAGAATAATTTGTTTTGTTAAAATAAATGGAAAAAGGTGCTCAATAAGGCTGTATGAGTGTTGGACAAGGATATCTTGAGAGAGAGAAAACTCGATTCTGGGAGACGATTTTTGGTTTCCGTAACGTTCAAATGGGTTGCGCCTTATAAATGAATTTTTCGGTGTGATTTTGTAGAAAATACAACTGAGTTGTTCTCTTTTGTGCCAATATCTGGATCGTACTTTTGAATGTTCAATCGACACCTACAGGGGTTTTTCTTTTTACTTTTTTCTTGGAGTTTGCCAACTATTTGCTGTTCACCGCTATAGTGACTCGCTTAATTTGTTAGCAGCTTTTCACCGCCACCAGTCACGGCGGTGCTATTGGATGCAGTCGGATCATAGATCCGCGTATACAACTGCTGGCACAACTAGCACGAGCGGGAAGTAATAACTTTTTTTTATTAGCAAAATTACATTTACATTTAATCTTTTATATTTTTTTTATTATTAGTATTTTCATAAATTAGTTAATCCAAGTATTTCACGTAACTCGGACAAACGCTGCAACTCGAATGTATTATAAAAGTAACCATTCCACTAAATTAATAGCTTTTTATTTTTGTATACATTAACAACTTTGAACACTTCAAATAAATACTTGAAGCAACACAATTTTTTTCTTTTTTTTACTTTTTTTTTTCTTTTCTCGCGGATCCTTATCCGCCTCTATATTATATACATATGTAATATATTTTTTTAATAAATTTTGGGATGCTTATTCTGTAATTTAATGTTTGGAAGTAGGCCCTTCGTGATTAACTCTGGGTTCTGTTATTATACTATATATACTATACTATATTGTTACTATACTCCAGTGAGAGCAGTTGTGTAATTACTTCACGTATAGTGACGTCATCAAAAATGATCCCTATATCTTAGTTATATTGCTACCATTTGTAGATGCGTTCCGATTTCAATTAATTCATTAGTTTAAAGTAGGTACGTTCGGATAGGCAACCCTAAAAACTAAATTAAAATTGTATTTTGATAGCGTTTTTGCAACGTGGACGTTAGTCATCGTGTTATAAATAGTAGAACCCACTAGAAATGCGGCCACAAAACGAATATTCCCAAAAAAATTCTAGCAACTTAGTTCAGTGGTGTATTTATACGAACGTATCAAATATATGGGAGAAAACAAATATCAGTTAAGTAAGTTTATTTTTGAAAAACTCTCAATGCTTCAATAACAAAAATAACAAAGACCCATAAAGCAAAGAGCAAAGTTGGATAATATAAACTATCATTGGAACAACTATGTGCCTCTGGGTCTGATTTTTTTTCCAAATCCATGAAAAAGTTATATAGATTTTCTACTTTACGCACAAAGAATTAGTGCAACAAATTATATTATTCCTGTGAAAAAAGGAAAAGTTTCAGTTTTTTTCATACCTGCTGCATAGCATAAATTCGTGGTGTCCGTATGCTATGCTGATGTACTTTATAAAGTCCTGTTCGGTGTGCTGACTGATATCAACTTTAACATTATGTTCATAATCAAATTTGATACCTCTACAAACAAGCTTATGCACCGATCGTAGAGAAATATCTAATGCATCGGCAACAAGCTACACGATATACAATAAGACATAATAAGTAAATAGCTAATATATAATTTTCAAAAACTTAAATTGCTTGTTCTTACCGCATTTAATGGTAAAAGCATCCCCGCATCCTGGAGAGCAACATGCAACAATTTTCGGCTAACAGGTCGGCAAGTATATAACCTTACTCTTAAAAAAGAACAAGATTTTAGGAATCGTCACTAAAACCTTATTTAGTATGAGCCCACTAATTTCAGGACACCCTGTATACTTTTATACTGTACCCTTTTCACCCAGTGACTGTACAATCACATTGTACACATTGAAGAATGTCCTTTCGAAAGCATGGTACTCGTGGTAACTAACTGACTTGAACTCAGAATCGGAGTGGTGAGCCGGCCTCGGAAACTAACAGCATGACAGTGTTACGACCGTCTTCTGCCGATTTCCCGAAGTTGGCGGTGCGCGCCAAATCGGGTGCGCGTACCGTCAGAGAAAGCGAGAAGGTTCTCGGCGAAACGGTGACCAGGAAAACGGAGGAGTTCGTGGACGAGGCGACGGGGGAACGTCGCGTGCGCACCGTCGAATACGTCGAGAAACTGATCGAACGCGAGGTATAACGCACCGGGGTGCAAGCAGCATGTTGCATTCTCTCTATCGCACCCGCTCTGGTTAGTCTTTGGTTTGTACGACTGTGTTTACTGCGTGCTGTGTTTGTGAATGATATCGGCAACTTCTATTCGCAAGATATTCGTATCGTAAACGTACCGGGTGATCCATTTAACATGCCCCTATACCTTATCTCAACAAGCACGATACTGAGGAACAAAATTAAGTACAAAAAGTGTTTGACGCTAAGTATATATTTTATTTGTTGTGTTTTTGTGTGTGCCGTTGTGCCAACTTCATTTTTTTGAGTGAAATGCTATAAATATTTTTAGAAATTCTGATTATTCGGTTGATACGAAATTTTGAGTAGTTTTTGAGAAAAATGAACTTTTCCACTTTTTTCTCTGAAAACCAGGTATTTGGGAAAATGGGTTTTTTTAAACATGAAAGCTCTAATTTGGAATGTTTATTATGGATCCATGGAAGTGGTTTTATTGGGTTTGGTATTCAATTCTGTGTCATTTCATGTGTATTTTATTTTAAATCTGACCAAAACCTATATAATATCCTAAGCTAACTAAGTTTTTTTTTAAGTTAATTACTTACATTCAATATAAAATCAACAAGTACCTTAAGTTTTTCTATCCCTTGCCGAAGTCTCATTCTTAAGTTTTGAACACTATTACACCTATTTTTATACACTTCGTTTTTATGAAGCCCTATTAAAAAAATCCTAGTCAGGTATACTCGCTGGCTAATAAATGATCTCGTACCGACCAATTCAAAATAGAAAACGCTGATTTAAACAATTTCTAACAAGCATTATAGTATACTATCTTGTTGAAAAACAATCCTTTCTATAATATCGTCCGGAAAATTATCAATTTAAATATCCGACATGATTTTCATTTGAGGTACACAAGTAATGAGTATTTTTTCTTTTGAACATAACGGCCATATTGAAAATTGTCTCATCGATAAATAGATTTCTTTTTAAATGTCAATCTTAAAATAGTGGTCCATCGTAAGGGAACAGTAAAAAAGTGTTGTTTGAAAGTTCTGTAGGGATAATTTCCGAACTGGCAAAAATTTAAATTTATGGTAGTTATTGTTCCTTCGATGGCTCAGGTTAGACTGTATTACAGCATAAATGAATCTCAATCGAAATACATTATTAGGGGGTTTAACAAGACATTACGCGGCTCTTCTGACCTTTATTTTTCAGTCGACCCTGCGTCGAAAGTTCTTTGTATCTTTACCGCCCGTTGCTGATGCACACAGTGTTGTCAACATGAAGCACCACAAATCTTATTAAATCAAAAAATAATTCGTAAATATACACCTCCTCTTAAAAAACCCCAGTTTTTCAACACAAAAGAATATTCTCAAACTCTCAGAACTTCATAATGTTAACTTCCTTTGACCAAAAACATCAATTGGTAAAACGTAAATACTTCGCCCAGATTTACGAATTTCTCCACAACACACCATCGTCACGTCGATGCATTTTGACGATTTTCCCCAGTTGCGACCCACAGGTAGGTGCATTGTCATTCTTGATAAACACTAAACTACCGGTCTTCATCAAGTCATCAGAATATTTCTTTTATTTCGTGTGTGTCTGCAGTTCATTATGAAATTCATTTTGTCATCTTCGATCAATAATGTTGGGTAACAGCTTTTAATTATTGCCACCTTGACATAGGATTCTCAGAAATTTCAGTGAACTTTAACTCAGGCAAAGCCGTCCCAGTCAAAAAATGTGCCGGAGTTAAGGCTGTAAAGTCTTTAGGGTCAGAGGAAATAGGACAAAGAGGCTTGGAGTTTAGGATTGACTCCACTTGAATCAATATAGTATAAAATGTAAACGAACCGCCTCCCAAAGTCCTCTGAAATTAGGACACAATTCCCTAAAATGTCCTTGTCATTACACAACTATTTTCTTAGTTGAAATGCTCGCATTGGATTTTTCATTTCCGTGGTATAATTCTACTAAACATCTAATTCGCAAATAAGGCGTAGAAGTGTATTCAAAAGTAAAAAACTTGACCCGTTTTTGTAAGATCATTTCGTCAAAATAGTGGTAAGGTAAGGTTTTTCTGTAAACGTTAACAATATTTGGAAAATGTGCTGTTGTAGTCTGGTCTGATTCCAGTTGTCGTTTTCATTCTTGCGTCAAATACAATGCGAAACCTTACTGTCTTTTTTGAATACTGAATGATGGGGCAAAAATATCCACCCTTATGTTCTATAATATGGGACCTCTCAGTTATCTCCGCAATCTAACTCATGTCATTTAGCTCTATATATTCCTTCATAGATGTGAGAAGTTTATTGGTACACTATAGCCGTCCCCCACTCCTCTCCCTTTTGTGGGCGTGTCCTCCTTACCCACGACTCTCTAGCTCCTCCCCCTTTACCCATAATCCCTTGAAACTGGCCCCCATTGGATAAGCAAGCACCAATGGGGTTTAATCAATCTCCCAACCTCTAGCTTGCGATGGCGGCGAAGCCAATCAGAGCCCAGATATTTTCCCACCCCTAAGAAAAGCAATGGCGTCAGTGAGACTTGATCATATTGTTCGCGTGACCATCTGCACCCTCTAGCGGTTCGAATGTAAACTAGTGTCCCCTCTTGGAATAAGATTTTCTTTAATAAGGTAACCCCCACCTAGTGAATATTGGCCAAAACATTTATTTTAAAAACATATAATTCTGCGAATGTGTACCCTCGCGGGTACAAACTGTACTTTTATTGCGCACAAAGGACAGGGGAAATAAAGATGAAAAGTGTTGGATTTCTTTTCTCGGAACTGGAAGCTGGCAGGCACCACCAATAATATCTGCAAAACAAAAACCTGGTTAAAATTTTCATTAATAAAGTAGGATATTAGAAACCATATACCTTTTTAATTTACTAAGCTATCTACCGTGCGTTAACTTCATACATATTTCCGCATGCTTCTGTTTTAAGGTATCGTGAAATATTTGACTATTTATCTGGGAAAAATTCATATGTCGAAAATATTATGTGTATGTGGCCGTGGTAGGCTTTCTTTGCTATTATAATTTTATTTTTATTATTTAATATTTACAAAATTAATTTATCTATCTTATTGATGATTTTGATTTTCTTTGCTATTTTATTATTTGTTCTTATTATTTAATATTTTCAAAATTAATTTATCTATCTTATTGATGATTTTAAGATATCGCAGTCAACTTTATTATTTCATCAATTTCTTTTATTTATTGCTGATCTTTGAGGATAGTGTACATACTTTTTTTCGTAACTTATCTGTATCTACCCTGTAATTTCCTATCAAGCCATAAAGCAAACTCGAAAGGCATCTTAACTAAAAAGTCATATACTTTAAAGCTGCTGCTACTACTACATAAAAGTGTGTTTCTATGCCAATCTCAACAACAATGAAATCTGGACGCTTATACTAATTACTGTAATACTCTTCTCTGCTAACGCTCTAGGAGACGCTATTTGAACCCTGTTCAAAGAAAAACTTCTACAGCCCAAATAACCTCTCTGAACCACACTTAAGCGCATCACTCTTTCACTGTCTTGCAGCCTTCAGATTAATATTCCGTACTAACTACGAATGCCATACACGAAACGTTCTCTTTTCTAATTTTTTTCTATGGGCTACATTAACGAACAGGATCTAAACTTTTCTGTCTGTGTATTTTTTTAGCCACCTTAAAAAAAATTAAAAAAAGGTATGCGAACCTAGAGGATATTTTCCATATTTTTCACAAATGGTGACAACAATTAATGCAAGTATTATTTTTAATAATAATCCATCTTGCGCTATGACACGAAAACATCGATTTTTTAATTCTAACTTTTCTCATAGAGCTTCCCTTTAGTCTCTATCTGTTCTTTAACTAAATCCCCGCCTTTTTGAAAAACCAACCTCTAAAAATAGTTAATTTTCTCTAATATAAATTTGTACGTTTTCCGCAATATGTGTGAATATTTTTGCTAGAGCATTTAGTTACTTAGTACATGTCCTAATCAATATTTTAAAAATATAATTCTAATGATACGTGTTTACGATTTGAAGATAACGAAACATTCCCCAGTTTTATAAATGAGAGCTCACTGCCAAACTACCAAACATCACAGTACAAACTACCGTACTACGCCCCCCTGGACAAAATCAGGTTAGTCAGCATCATTAATTCTACCTGCGTTAACGAATAGCGTATTGTTAATTAAGGTTTAATACGCAGAAAATTTAAGTAACAAATAATTGCAATGAAACTCACTAACATCATAAATTATTTAAAAAAAATTAGAACAGTTGGAATTTACTGGAGTAACCAATTTGGCACTAAAATGGAAATTTTCGATACTCTACTAGGTGCCTACAATAAATTTTACTATTATTTTTAATGCAGGGGTATATGACCATAGTTTACGCCGACTCTAAAAGGCATGCAGTCTATTGTTTTTGAACGCCCCATTTTGTGTATTATGTTCAAAACAGAGACTCTCTGGGCTTACGACTACAGCTACCAGCTACTACTTTCAATAATATTAACACAAAAAAAAGTAGGTGGCATTTCTATAATACGTGCAAAGTTTATGTGAAACTGACTGGAAGACAGAGTAATGCACCAATATGTTACTAAACATATTTCCATAGAATTCCGTAAGAGCTTACCTCCAAGTTTTCTCATTTAGTCAGTCAAAGCATCAAATGGGAAATTCCAATCCAACATATGTAGTGGTGGAAATATATCAATCGCCTACGTTACCGATGGTACCCGACTGAAGCTTCTGCGTCTTCTTTACCCCACATGCCTACTTAAAAAGATACTGGCCTAAGTCTCAATATTCCTGTTAAAAAAAGAGAGGTTCTATATTGCCATAAATATGTGTTTTCAAAATTTTACGTGAATGGTTCGCGATTCCTTATATATGCAGTGTTGGCAGCAATGTGGCGACGACTACGCTGAAACTTTCCATATCTCGTGTCCCCATGAC